GCCTCTTCCTGTGTTGGGGCCAAGAGTCTAAAAGACAATCAATGATTTTGGGGGCCCAGTTTGAGACACTTTATCAGGTCCTAACTTAGGACACTTTTTAAATGTCTCAAATGAGACAGCAAAAAATCACTAGTCATGTCAGAAATTCTTGGTCTTTGTTTTTGAGTTGATTCACTAAATCTTTCCCTGTGTTTAAGGAAATGTTTGACACAGCTTCAAGATAGACAATAAGACAACATTCAAAACACTCAGCAAAAACAAATGTTGTTTTTGTGCCTGTCTTATGCATTCCATCCGAATCCGAATTAATGTTAAATGAACAACTTTTTTGGATTATGAAAACTGTTTGAAAAATGAGATTGTTTTCTACATGACATTTCTCTTATTAGGTTGGGGAAAAAATAAATTAAACTCACCTCTAAACAATAATGTAAGAAGGGAAATGTTATACTAGATGTTTGAACGTGGCTGTTTTATCAGTGTTTCATCTTACTGTGGAAAAAGGTCAACTACAGGGAGCTTCCTCTGGGAAAATTACATACAACATGCATCACACGGGCAATTGCGGTACACATACAATAGAACGGCCAAGTGTTTCTCCCCCTTTACTTTATATTTATCCTAGATTTCCTGCAAAATCGCTCACTATGGTAAAATACCTTTCAAGTGTTGCCAACGTGTATGCCTCAGGACATGACAGAAGGCAAGATAGAGCCCTGCAGTGGTTCAAACAGAGGCCAAGCATTAAATCATACTGGTACTTTTTGGATTACTGACTTAAACGGCTCACTATATTTCCATTAGAAATCTAGGCTTCAAGGGCTTTAACCATGGAGTGGTGGAAAGCTGCAGATATTTGGAAAACTCACAGCATTACTGCTGAGCTGCAGAAGAAGAATATGAAGGAAAAGCAAGTTCTCTTCTTACCTGCTAGTTGGTTTTCTGTGGCTTGGTGAGACAGTGTGGATCATGGCTGGGTCCTAAATTTCAGTTAGAGCTGGGCAAATAATGGATTTTTATGGTTGCTGGCAATTCCAAAAAATTGGGGGGAAAGAGTTTAGAGTCAAATGAAAAGTTTATTTTCAACAAAGATAAATGTTTCATGTTGATTTTGATTATTTTCAAATATTTTGTATTGTTTTTAAATAAAATTAAGGGAAATTTTGAAATGAAAAGTAGTTTTGAACCAAAAAATTGAAATACACCTCTACCTCGATATAACGCTGTTCCCGGGAGCCAAAAAATCTTACCGCGTTATATCGAACTTGCTTTGATCCGCCGGAGCACGCAGCCCCGCCCCCCTGGAGCACTGCTTTACCGTGTTCTATCCAAATTCGTGTTATATCAGGTCGCGTTATATCGGGGTAGAGGTGTATTTTGTTTCATAAAAGATAGACTGAATTTCAGAATTTCTCCAATCAAAATATTTCAGGGAAACAGAGATGAATTTGCAACATGTTTTGGTGTCGTCGAATTTCTGGTTTTCTCAGAAAAAGTTTTGCATGAAAATTTTTGCTCGGCTCTAATTTCAGTTCCAGGCAGGCAGTGAAGGACTGCCCAGGAGCAGGAGACTTTGCACTGAGCCCCTCTCCTTGCTGGCCCTGAACCAAGTCATAGAGCACAAATTTAAAAAACTAAAAAAAAAGTGTGATTTTTAACTTGGATTAGCTAACACGCGTTTGCTACGTTGGGTTAAAATAGCAACAAAGACACAGCAAATTGGCTTGTAACTCATGTTAGCTGCTTGAATTGAAGGTTATATGGGAGGATGGGGTTGAATTTGGGCTGACTTAAAAGTTGAGCTGCAGTGCCTTCACTGCTATTTTAACCTTAGCTGATGCAGTAAAGCTAACCTGAGTTAAGAACTCACTGGTTTTGCAGAGTAGCCATACAATGACTTCCAATGCTGTCAAATAAACCTGCTTAGCCCTACACTATGCTCCCTACAATAGTCACTTCACCCTTTCCCTCAGACCAAGGTGAGTGTCCGCGCTGGCTCACCAATCTACAGAACTAGCAAGCACATTACAAGCTCATTTTTAAGGGAGAGATAATGCTGCATCTGGGGGTGTAAATGAACAGGGCCTTTCCTCTAGCAGAAAATGGGTTACCATGCCACCTCTTACTTTACTAGGGATTGTGTGTGTGTGTGTGGGGGGGGATCTTCAGAGTTTGGGATCTGTGGGGGAAGATATGGGGTGGGGGGCAGCGAAGTGAAGTGACAGGTTTGAGCATGGAGTCATATTCCTCTTCTGAGGGAATCTGTTTCTAGGCGGTAGGAAGGGGAGGAATTTTTATTCCTCTGCAGAGGCTGCAAAGAGGTCCCAGGAATTACTGAGCTGTGACAAGGGATGGTGTAAGAGGGGCGTTCGTTTAAGAGACTTTAGGCTTTGTTAATCCTGAGATTTATGAGACTCTGCCTCTCCCTAAGTAAGCAAATAGTGGAGTTGGATGGACTTTTTCTCTCCAGTGTCCAGTGCCCTCAGAAATGGGTCTCATGGGACTGCTCCAAGGCATGGGGAGGGTCTGCTCTCTCAGGCAGGCGTGTGTGTGTGTGTGTGGAGGGAATAGTGAGTTGCTGCTTGGCTGAACGTGTCAGACACACTGGTTCTGTTATGGTGGGAGCCATTTAGCTGAGCCACCTCATAGAGGTGGTGAGCCTGCTTTGCCTGAGCAATCTTCCATAACTGCTATGGTTGAAGCCTAAAGAAGCTGACTCTGTGCAAGGCATTTTCTAGTTTCCTCAGTGAGACACAGAAAGACACTGGGGAGATGGTACCTGAAAGGAGCAGGGTGTGGCACCAAATCTCTCTAATTCCTGACTGATGGACATTTTTGATGGACTTTGATGGCTTCTTTGATGGACATATTGTCCATATTGCCTTACAAAGTACAGAGTGAGTCTTTAGCACCTTGTTTGCACAATCAGGCATGGCTTCCTTGAAAGTATTTCCTTACTCACCAGGCCCTGAGGTCACATCTAATAGCAACATACTTTTCTGTCATCCAGATGTGATAAAGTGACTCATCTTGCTCCCTCATTTAATGGAGAATCAAGGACAACATTTTCCAGCTCTGGGGCAGAAGAAATGCCTTGTAATAATTGTGAGAGACTCCTTCTGGCTGACACTCTGAAATAAGGACCAATCATGCAAGCACTTACTATCCTGAGTAGTCCCATTGACAACAGAATTCCTTTGTCTCTCAGCTCCACCTATTATCTCTTGTCTTATACTTAGGCCTGGTCTATACTAAAAAGTTAGGTTGACCCAGTTATGTTACTCAGAGGTGTGAAAAATCCACACCCCTGTGCAACATAGTTAAGCTGACCTAACCCCCGGAGTAGACAGTGCTAGGACCTAGCTACTGCCTCCAGGAGGTAGAGTACCTACGCCGAGGGGAGAACCCTCATGTCAGCATAGGGAATGTCTACACTGAAGTGATGCAGTTGTGCCACTGTAACATTTCAAGTGTAGACGAGCCCTTGGAATATAAGCTCTTTGGACAGGGACCATTTTCTTGTTCTGTGTTTGTACAGTGCCTAGCACAATCGGGTCCTGCTCCATAAGTGGGGTCCTAATGTGCTACCACAATACAAATCAATAATAATTTAATGAGTAATCACCCTAGCCTTGGGCATAGCTACCTGTGGAAACTATTCACAGTAGTAAGAATTACTATTACTACAGTAGTAAGAACCCAGTGAATATTTGCAGGATCAGGCCCCTAACATGCTGGTTGGAGCAAGCTCCAACGTCCCTTAGGACTAGTCTAGACTGGCAACGCAAAGTGCTGCTGCGGCAGCGCTTTAATGTGGCTTGTGTAGTCACAGCAGAGCACTGGGAGAGAGCTCTCCCAGCGCTCTAAAAAAACCACCTCCACAAGAGGCGTAGCTCCCAGCGCAGGTAGCGCAGCTACCAGCGCTGGTGCACTGTTTACACTAGTGCTTTACAACGCTGAAACTTGCTGCGCTCAGGGGGGTGTGTTTTTTCACACCCCTGAGCGAGAAAGTTGCAGCACTGTAAAGTGCCACTGCAGACAAGCCCTTAGATAGAAGAAGGAAAAACCACACAGGCTTTAGGATGTGAAAGCATTACATCTGCGGCCATTTCACTGTATATTGGCAGAGTTTCACAACTAAACGTTGCCGTAGGTTGTTCGCCTGTAAGTTTACCATTTATGTGCAGATCTAAAGAAATATGACTTGATGAGACATGATGATTTGCACATTTAGCAGTTCTCTGGTATATCTCAATTTGATCACCAGTTCTCTGGTATATCTCAATTTGATCACCAGTTCTCTGGTATATCTCAATTTGATCACCATAACCGGTCTGAGAAGCTTTTCGGTCACCTCAGAACAGTGACTGTGCAAGCTATGCCATTCTCAAAGTAAGATTTATATCTACAAAATAAGGACCCCAGCATAATTGTACGAAGCAATGTTGATTAGAGTGACGATATAATGACCATTTAAAAAAGAATCCTAAACTTATTTTCCTCTTTATAGAAGATGTTGTTTGGACTCTTAGGTAATTACAGTACTTTAATTTTAACATTTTAAACTTCTTGATTTTTGTACATAAATTACCATAGCTGTCCTACCAGGTTACTGTCCATTAGCTTGGGTAAAAAGCTGACAATGCCCTTTGGGTTTAAAACTCTGTGTTTTGAAGAAGAAGAAAAGAAGACAATGACAACAGTTTGTCACTTAGACACTGAAAATAGAAAAGAAGCTATTTTTAAGAACGGTTAAATATTTCTGGCTTTTCAATCATGCTGGGGCACAAAGGATAAAGTAAAAAAGAGAAGCAGATATATTTCAATTCTATTAGAAACATTGTGGGTTGGAAGGAAGTCAATGGTTGTTAAATGGAAAAGGACAAAATCAATAGGGAAAAATTTTATTTTCAGACTTCCAGGATGGTATTATAAAAAATGAAGAATTAAAAAAAATATAAATAACCATTAAAAAAGGAAACACTACATATATTTAAAAAACCATTAAGAAACTGAATTGAACATATAAAGGCAAAGAAATTCAGCATTAAGGCTCTAACTCCAGACTAGATTCAACTGAGAACCTGCTGTCTCTAAAATTTAGAATAGTTCTTGTAATAAGTAATTCCCAGTTACTGCAACCCCTAGTGATCACTGGGAAGATATGACTTTAAAACAGTGACTATACAGAACAGCATCCAATCTCACTATGATTGCTCTGTATTTTCTAGCTGTCATAAAGCTGCTTGAAATACACAAGAGAGGGAGCAGGCCTAGAGAATTGAGTTATGCCTAGAAGACCCCTCCATTCAAGATGTTCTACACAACTCTTAAAATGTTCTGGCAGTTGAACCTAGAGGACATTTATAATAATAGTGCACTCGCACAAAGCCAACATTTGATATTTTGGTGCCACTGGATAGAGTGGCTTATTCTAAAAATCATTGCCTCTGTTCCTATATATTTATATATACTGTACATTCTTTGTCACACAATATAACAGAATGTAGAAGGAAAATCTGACTACTTGTAAATATTTTTGGTGCTTAACTCAAAGTCTGTAGAATATGGATCATGTGATAAATAAAGCCATTTTAATAGCTGACATAAAGGAATATGTTTGCATTGTTAAATACAGTGTATTGTTAAAATTACTTTCTGTACTCAATAGCCACAACAATAGGAATTTAATTCCATCCCTGTTACTTTTCGGTGTGTATAGTTCAACTGCACAGAAAATGGCACAGACATATACAGCAAAGACAACCTTCTTCACCAAAAGAAGAGACTAATAACAAACCACTGAAAGTGAAGCACTGAGTCTCCACTTCAGAAGGATGCAAAATTATATCCCAAAGGATAGTCCTGAAAGAAAGCAAATGACGTGAATGTGCACTTAAAGTCACTCTTGTCTCATAATTGAGATGCATCCATCTCTGAGTATATAGTTTGTCTCTAAACAATGTTGTGGCAGGAATTTTAAAAGGAATTATGTGTTTTATTTATTTCTCCAAGACAAGAGTTTCTTTAATTAATGCTGATTTTCTGCTCCCTTCTCCACTTCTATCTCTATCAAAGCTCACAAATTTGGTCAAGTATGGATCTCATGGCACTGAAAGATATAAGGAAATGGAAAACCAGTCTGTAAGTTCATTTGAAACCAAATAATAGAGAAAACAGAGAGCAGAAGCTGTCTTCCCTCAAAGGAATCAGTAGATGAGCTCTGAGCCAGCCTGGTCCAAACACAATCAAGAGAGCTTTGAACTTGACTTTTCGTTTATTCCCAGTTTAGTTTAATGTATTGGCTTTTTCCTCAACCTGTCAGTTGTCATATTGATAGCCAGTGTTGAAGCTGAAAGGAAACAGAAGCCATTATTTATTTGATAATATATTATTGACTTCAATGATAGTGATGAGAGTAAGTATGAAATAAGGGAGATGACAAATCTTGAATTACAGAAAAGCAGGAAAAATGGACTACCAGTATTATTTTCAGAATGAATCCCAGCTTCTATTAACAACCGGCTTGTCTTATACAGCAATCATTTAATAATTGGACAGTTTTAAAATGCACAACAGTTGGACATTAGGGAAACATAACTAAGATACTAGTTGCATCATAAGATAGGCACACGGCTTAATGTTTTGTTAAGATGCTTAAACAAGATTAACGTCCAACAATCATGATGTTTTTCTGCTATTGATGCTGGCTATTTGGAAACAGTAACTTAAGTCAATACACAGGCCTCAGTGATTGACACATCATCCAGGAACTCCATTGTCGGAGCCCCACTCCTGCTTTTTTCAAATTATGCCTTTCTACTTTTTGTCTATTTTCCCAACCTCCATAATTTAAATCCAAAACTGCTGAAAAGATATGTTATACCACTATGTCTTTGGGTTCAAATGTTCAGAATTGTGCAGAAATATGTGCATATAGCCCATGTCTGCATGTTCACGTGCAGTAATTACAGAGAAAATATGGAAACACACACATTTGAAATCTTGAGCCATAATCACTTACATTTGAGGTATTAAACTATAAGGGAAGATATCTCTACTATAATATCACTCTAAAATATATAGAAAGAATTCTCCTTCATATATAGCGAGTATTTTGCCTATTCAGTTTCTTGCGTTTGTTTCAAACTAAATATAAAGAGCCAAATTTTCACCTTATTTTTCAGGACCAGCACCTGAATCTGAATCAGCAATGCAACTGGGGTCAAGTTTTGAGCTATTGTACATAATTATTAGTTAGTTTTAACCACGAAGGCAAAAAACGATACAGTATGAATGTTGATAATAGTGCAGAATGGGATATTTGTATCCTTTTTCACTTTTAGCAAAGAGTTTTTCAACAGGCTCATTTTATTTGCTAAGTCGAAGGCCTCATTGGAAACTTATAGCATATTTGTCATGGTTGCTTAAAGACCATCCATGCAAAACAAGGAACATGTTCAACCTGTAAGCATATGGGGAAAACCTATTACATTTCCGTATCGGGTCATCTCAGCATAACCATTTTGTAAGTGAGTTCTTGTCACAGGATATTTGCTTGCCTCTTTGTCATGACTGGTGGCACATATCTGGAGTTTGAGGTAGAAACCGTCAATCCAGATCCCTATGAAATAACTTATGTGAGGGGAGAAGCATCTCATAATACTTAATTTTTTTAAAAACTGCATGATGGTCTGGAATTGATCATTGCCAAGATGTCTTTTGATGAGATCTCACCATGATTGCATATGAACAAAAATGCTTGGAACTAGATCTGCTGTGGGATAACCTCATGGACTCTATAGGGTCATATTGTTAAAATGGTAAAAGATAGGTACCAAAAGTCCTACAAGGCCGATGGACATGGCATTTTCCCACCCACAAAGCAACATACTGGCAGAAAGGAAACAAACCCACTTTCATTTGCCAGTCAAACTTGCTAAGGGTGCAAAGGATAAGGGAGTGGGCAGGGAGGTAGGGAGAAGGAATACACACCTTAAACTGCCTCACGTTCCCTTGTGCCACAAGATGGTGTTCGTTCTCAGGTGTGATGCAGTAAGCTAGTCTCTAAACAAGAGTGGAGGCACACAGGAAAGAAAGTTAGCCATGTTAAATGGGTTAGATCTGCAGATAGGGGATGTTATCCCTGGGTTTACAGGGAAATAGTGTGAGTTTTCTCTAAATCAGTGACTTAATTTTTAATATCATTGAGCCCAGAGGGGACCTAATCATTGAAAGACCAAAGTGTATTATAATTTATGAGCTTCATGATGGTAGTCCTAATCTCACAGCAACAACAGAATGTTTATGATAAATTTTAGCTGGTCCCCCCATCATGGGAAAAGGGCCCCAGGAGCTACTTGGCACCACAGCCCTTGAACTTCCTGAATGCAAGGATTGCTGGAGGCTAGTAACAATGCAAACAGGTGAAGAAAGGTGCATGGGAGGGTACCCCTCCATATTGTCCACAAAGCCTAAGTTGTAGTGTCATTTGGGAGCACACACAAACATTGCTCTGGCATGCACTTCCATGGGCACTGTGCATGCCTCTAGGAGCTCCTGCTGGAGAGGTTCCCTCCTCTCTCCCTCTATTGCAAGCTGAATGGCCACAATTTAGCCCTTGATATCTTATACTTATACTAAGAATTTTGGGCATGGCTTCCCCTTTATCTGCAGCCCTTTTATTTTTGGGTATTGCTAAGGTTCAAGCTTTGTGAGCAAACCTGAGCTTGCCCTATAATTTTGTGTCATTAGCTTTTGCAAGCAGGTGAAACTCAGTGGGCTAAAGTGAATTCTGCTGTGAGGTTTTGGTGTCGCTTGAAAGGGATCTGCAAAAAAGAGAACTGAACAAAATAAAGGGTTTGCCCAAACCCCAGTGAAAAGAAAGCCAAAGGTTTTGCAGAACATTGATTGCATGGGGCTGGATTGTAACCCTACAAACAAGCAGGAGTAAAGGGCAGTGCAGGAATCAGATTGTAACTCAGAGGACCTCAGTCAGGTTCCTGGCTCCCTGTCTGCACTGGTTTTGCTAATTAACCTGGTGTGTTGGGGGGTGGAGTCAAGTCTTCATCTGCTCCCTGCCCACTCTCATCCATCTGAGCAGGAGAAGGAATAGCTGACCAGCAGTGGTCGCTGTCTTCTCCATGCTTGTACTGTTGTTAGCTTGCACAGTGGTATAAGAAGGATTAGACTCCCTCTTACTCCCCTGTGCATGCAAGAGGGCTCACAGTTGAGCCTATGGAATTGTCTCTTACCTTTCTCTTGTCCTAACATATTAGGAGACTATTTGAATTTGAGGCTCAGAAATAAAAGATTGAACTATAATAATATGCCTGGCTACCTCACAACTCTATTTGCATAATAGGTTTAAAAGATAATTAAATTCTACCTAAACTAAAGGGCCTGATCCAAAACCTTTTGAAGTCAATTGGCACCTTTCCATTGGCCTCAGCAGGTTTTGCATCAGACCCACAGTGCATTTTCTGCACTTGTTCCACACACAGATCTTCTGCTGAGGTCAATAGAACATCTGCGTGCAGAACACATGAACAATATGAAGGGTTCCTGTCATTTGCTGGGGAGAAGAAAGGAAAAATTGTTGCAATTGTTGGGTATATAAACCATAAAATGCTTCTTTGTGGCAGTCTGAATTTTGACAAACCTAGGGGCATCTTTTCAGATTATGGATAGATACTATGATTGAAATCCAACTGTTTGCAATAAACCAGATGATATTCAAACTGTGCTTGCCTGAGTTTTAAAATACTGGACTATAAGGAACATAAAATAATCAACATTTCAATGTCTTAGGAGTACGTTTGGTATTTTTAAAGGGCTGAAAACAGATCTAAAGGTGGCTTTACTTTCTAAATCCTATTTGTGGATTCCTTTGGAGCATGGATAAGAATTTCCAGTGACAGTGATGAGAAAATTAATATGATCAGTGAATCTTAAACTTGTGTCATTTTGAAATGGTAATTTGAGGCAAGTACAGAGCAGTGAGATTGTAATGAAAAATAATTAGATGTATTTTTTTCACCATAGAAACCAGGTTCCTCTTAAGCAGAACAATAACACACTAGATTAACATTACACACAATAACACTACGTTAAAAGAACATTTTTAAGGTAGCAAAGTCAAGCACTCAGAAGTTAGGAAATTAGGTCAGAATTAGGGTTGCTTATGCAACCGTTCTTCAGCCCCTTTCTGTGTATGCATTTGATAGTCTTTCCTTACATGACCACATACTAGTTTTGCCACAAGATGCCTGCCTCAGTCAGTGTTCAGGACGGATGGTGCTCAATTCATGAGCAGCTATTCAATATTCTATTTTCTCTTCATTGTTCAGTGTGTTGCCTCATGCCTTATTTCCTGCATGTTATTCAAACCCTGCTCTGAAGATAGAACTATTAATTTCCACGTGGGCTTTTCTATGGTGCTCATCATTACAGTATCTGAGTGGTAGACAAACATTGATTTATTTTTCAGCATCCCTGTTAAATGAGGAGGTGTTATCCTCATTTGACAGATGGGGAACTGAGGCACATTGAGTCAAAAGTATCCACTAATATTGAGTGCCCAGTTTGAGATGCTTGGGATTGAATTTTTCAGAGCACTTAGCATTATGTAGCACTTTGCGGTATATCTTCAAAGCAATGCTCCCCTTGCTCCAGTTGCTGCTGTGAGTGCTCAGCACTTCTGCAGATCAGACCCCAGGCACCAGGAAAATAAGGAACACTCAATTAGTGACCACCTGAAAAGGTTTGTTTTAAGTGACTTGGCCAGTATCACACAAGAACTCTGTGGCAGAGGCAGGGGTAGAATCCAATTCCCCAGGACAACATTCAACTGCCTTAACCCTGAGACCCTCTTTTCTCTTCCTGTGGTCCCCTGCCTCATTTTACTACTAGGGCTAAATGGGAAACCGGAATTCCATTTCATAAAAACTTTCAGGATTTCAATATTTGTTTTTATTCTACATCCAAACAACACAGGGAGCTTTCACAAAAACGTGTGTGTGTGTGTGAGAGAGAGAGAGCTCCTCCCCAACCCCAAATAGCCAAGATTTTAGGGGTCTAGGACACTCACCTCTGATGTGGAAGACTGAGACAAGTCCCTACTCCAAATCAGACAGACCAACAACATGCATGTCCCACATCCCAGCTTTCATCAAAAAATTTCAATTGAGCTCTATCCCCTACACGCCTTTCAACTTCTGTAACAAATGTAACAAGGGCCCTACAGATATCATCTCCAGAGCAGGTCCAGCCTGTGAAGTTAATGAGGCAGGGGTCATGTGGAAAAATATGTGATCATGTGATTTAAGACTACAATGCATGTGCAATATTGGGCAGGGCTGGATTAATGCAGGGGCTTTAGGGGCTGCAGCTCAGGGCCTCTGGCTAAGGGGGGCCCCGCAGGCCGGCTGCGGTCCACTGCTTCTTTTCATCCGGCCCAGGGCAAGTCTCTGCGCTGCTGGCCGGACACCGGTCCCTGAGCCTCGGTGCCCCCTGGGGCTGGAGCCATGAGCGCTAGTTCGCCAATGTGCCCCTGCAGCCCCTAGGCGAAGGGGTTCAGTGAATCTCTGCACGCTGCCCCCAGCGCCGGTTCCGCAGCCCCCATTGGCCGGGTACCACGGCCAATGGGAGCTGCGGGGGCAGCGCCTGCAGGCATGGGCAGCGTTCACTGCGCAGAGCGGCCTGGCCCCTGTGCCTAGGAACTGGACATGCCGGCCACCTAGGGAGCAGAGCAGCGCGGAGCCAGGGCAGGCAGGGATCCTGCCTTAGCCCTGCTGCGCCGCTGACCAGGAGCCGCCCGAGGTAAGCGCCTCTCAGCTGGAGCCTGCACCCCCTCCTGCACCCCAACCCCCTGTCCCATCCCTGGACCCACCCCAGAGCCCACCCCCCAACTAGATCTGCACCCCCCTCCCACACCCCAGTCCCCTCCCCCAGCCCTGATCCCACTCCCCCACTCCAAACCCCCAGGGGCCCCATGAAATGTAATAGCCCCGGGCCCACAGGAGAGTTAATCCAGCTCTGAAAGAGGGCCAAATTAAGATTTCACAGGCAATCTTAATTCTGGCATTTACTAACTTCTGAATGCTTGACTTTGCAACCCTGATGTTCTTTTAATGTAGTTTGCCTGTAATTTCCTATAACATATAAAACAACATAGATCCTAAAAACACCTATAAAAAAAACCCAACATCCATCATATGATGTGATATATTTACACCTACAAGGTACATCAACAGGGTTGGAACATTTAGACCCACCCCACAGACCTCTGCTACTTGAATTAATGGAGTAACTGATAGCAGTAGTAGGTTGTCGTCCTCTTTGTTGAACAACACTGGAGTGGGATGAGACAATTTGCCAGTGGGTTTTGCAGACATTTGCTGACAGCAAAGGAATGGTGAGACACAGGAATCTTGGGTTCCGTTCAAGGCTGCGGAGGGGAGTTTGTCTAGTGGGCACAGACTCTTCTGCACATTTCCACCAAAGCTTGAATTTCTTTTGTCCCATCCCCTCCAACCTGCCTGTCTCAGCCCCGTGTATTCTGCACCCCTGGTTCCTCATCTCAGTCTTCACTCCTCAGGAGTCTCATCCAAGTGCCAGTCTCCGTGTCCAGCAAGTCCTAGTCTCACCCCTCTGGACTCCCCAGACCAATCCCCTTGCCCAGCAATTCCCAGTCCTCCCCCAAACACACACTTGCCCATGTTTCCCATCCTCACAGAATCTCAGTCCCAATCTGCCTCCCAAGGGTCCTCATCCAATCTTAGTGTCCCCCAGCCCCACTCATTGTCCACTCTTTACTCACCTACTGGCTCTGGTATCTCCCCATTTCCCTCCCTAGCCACTCCCAGTCTCCATCCCAACCTAACTCCCATTCCCAGTTTCCCTTCCCTATCCCCCCCCACCAGCCTCAGTCTTGCCCCACCCCTTTGTCCTTTTCCCAATCTACTCCCCTTTCCTCTTTAACAGGTCCTACTCTTGCCCCTCTGCATTCAATTCAGGCAGCTGCCTGGGTCCAGCATGAGTGTCATTGAGAGTACAGGAGAGAGACTCTCCCTACTCTCAGTTTAGGTGCCTGGCAGAGCCTGCAGGAGCCCAGAGCTGCAATTGCAGGGAACAATATGCTCAATCCCAGGCTGGAGCATCCCAGTGTGGACTGAATCTTTGGGGAATCTAGCTGCAGAAATCTAACAACTTGTCTACTTGAAAGTTAATTTGGATAAAGATATGGTGTTAATTTAAAGCTTAATCACTATTCCTGAATAGCTGTAGACAAGCCTTAAGATGTCTTTACTGAGCACATGTGAACGGCTATTTTTCAAAGCTTATTGCTTGCCCACGTTTCGGCAGATTTCCATAGGGATAGCAAAAGGCACATTCCTGACACAAAGTCTACCCCCTGCCAAATTCCAAGTCCCTGCTCCAAAGCATGGGGGCTCTAGAGCGATTCAGATTTTCCCCAGAATTTTTTAATACGGGAAATAGGATTTATTTTTCACATCTTCATTTTTGGTAATGACTCCTCTATTTTGGCTGAAGTTTTCCAAGAATATTCAGCCTGAGGTAGACCCCCAGCATGAAAAAATTATAAGCAACCGAAAACAGGGTCTATGAATGGGAACTGTCAAGCAACCTTCAAAATAGATGATGTCACTAGCTCTATAATTACCCACCCTCCAACTTTTTTTAAAATATCAACTATACAATAAACATTTGGAACCATATTTTCAGATGAGTGGCCTAATCTATTTTAATCACCTCAATGAAGTGCCCAGATTTTCAGAGATGCATAGGACTCCTGTTGAGAATCATGGGCCAAATTGCTGTCTAGAGAAAGCATCTGGACTGGGTCCACTCTTTATTCTGGATGTTGTATTTGAAGGCATCCATTTATATATATTTCTACAGTTGAGAAAAATCTACTAATTCAACTTTAAAATGTGCATTAAAAATGCTTTTATGAACTACAGGGGGCATTCAGGCAGACTAATTTCTGTCTAGAAATTGAAATAGGGTGTATTAAATCCAGCTTGTAATTCCAACCCGTTAGAAAGCTGGATCTGAAAGGTCACATAACGAGGAATGTGTCTGGGGAGCTAGAGAAGCAAACTGTTAGCGCAAATCCAGTACATTCATTTCATAATAACATTTCATGACATTTTATTAGCAGTCCACTTACTTCTTTAAAGGTCCCACGCACGTTCAGAAATTTATAGATAATGTAGGCAGGCACCAGGATCATTGAAGATAATGCTATTCCCCAGCCAATGCGATTTGCCCAGAGAGGGAAGGTGTAGTCATCATAGGTCAGAGGTTTGAAGTTTATAATACTGACTATCACCACAAACTAAGGAAGGAAAAATAGAAAGAACCACAATTTTAGTCCTTTGGGAAAACTCCAAGTGGAAAACAAACCTCATCTGTTAGATCAGGCAGGCTGCCCAGTGCAAAGGGGATACTTAGACCTGTGCAATAGGCCCTACCTTCAGCCTGTTTACAATGTGTCCCTTTTAGAGGACAGTGTGGAACCACTTAGGGCACTCACGAATGATGTTAAAGGCCAGAAAAATCATAAAATTCCAGCCAGGCTATTTGTATCTGCCCTGTGTACTAGTGAACCTCACCAGCAGACTACACGCTGCTGTGGAAGGGGGATTTCCTCCCCTACTTCTGAAGCAGACAGGGGAGGCTGACTTGTTATTCTGTAGTTTAAACTAGAGTTAGAGATGGGGACGTTCTTAAGGCTGAAGTCATGGGTCCCGGACAGGACTATAGGCAGAGATTTTCAAAGGGTCCCTGAGGACTCCTCAAGATCCCTCTTTGTCCTTTTCCCCAGAGGTTCTAGTAATGCTTCCAGGCCGGCTTTAGGACCTGCGGGACCCAATTCGAATACCCGGTGGCATTCCAGGTCTTTGGCGGCGGGGGGTCCTTCACTCGGCTCCGGGTCTTCCGCGGCACTGAAGGACACACACACACACCCCGCCGCCGAAATGCCGCCAAAGACCGGAGTGGACCGCCGCTGGGTGAGTAAAAAAAAAATTAAAAAGGCGCCTAAGGCGTGGGGCCCTCTTAGGCACGGGGCCTGATTCCGGGGAATTGGGGGAATCGGCCTAAAGCCGGCCCTAAGTGCTTCATAAGGATGGGACTGTCCCTGCTAGACTGATGAGCCTGTTATTAAATATTTGTTGCCCGCGTAGATACTTACAGACTGTAATCAAGTCAACCCTTAAGCTTCTCTTTGTTAAAATAAACAGATTAAGCTCTTTTAGTATATCACTATAAGGCAAGTTTTCTAATCATTCATGTGGCTCTTCTCTGAACCCTCTCTAATTTATCAACATCTTTCTTAAAATTGTGGGCATCAGAACTGGGCACGCTATTCCAGCAGTAGTTGCACCACTATCAAATATAGAGGTAAAATAACCATTCTACTTCTACTTGAGATTCCTCTGTTTGTTCATCCAAGGATTGCATTAGCACTTTTGGCCACAGCATCGCATTGGGAGCTCTCATACACCATGAGCCACAAAGCTTTTTCGGATAGAATCCCCTATCCTATGAGTATGACCTACATTCTTTGTTTCTAGATGTATACATTTACTCATATTAAAATGCATATTGTTTACCAAGTAATCCAGATCCCTCTGACACAGTGACCTGTCCTCTTCATTATTTTACCACTTCCCCCATTTTTTTGTGTCATCTGCAAACTTTATCTGTGATGATTTTATGTTTTCTTACTGGACATTGATAAAAATGTTAAACACTGGGTCAAGAGCTAATCCCTGTGGGAACCCACTGGAAACACAGCCACTCAATAGTTTCCCATTTACAATTACATTGTGAGACCCATCAGTTAGCCAGTTTTTAATCCATTTAATGTGTGCCATATTCAGTTTATATCATTAGAAAGGTTTCTCAGGTGTGTGTCCCCAGAATTGCCATTAGCCCAGTGGTTACAGCATGGATGGGGGAAACCCAGATTCAAGTCTCTGCTCCAATCTAGGCAGAGCAGGAACTTGAGCTTGGGCCTCCCACACCACATATGAGTGCTCTCACCACCAGGCTATTTGCTATTATTGACTAGTCTCAGCTTGGATTCAGTTTGTGTTGGTTTTATTTTGTGACAAAAATGGAAAGGTTTCTAGTTTCATCCTGATGTGGATATGGAGTGGGACAGTTTTTGAAATTTTGAAAATGTTTGTGGGTCAGGAAAACCATTACTCTAGGAAAAAAGCCTTGGTGGGGAAAAAAGCTCTTCTGGCTAAAGATTTTTGGGACAGCTTGGCCAGATGTTCCACTCTCTCAATGTACAGCAGCACTTTCTATCCCACTTAAACAAATAAGATGCTTGAGGGTATTTTTTTTTCTAGCTGCTGCTCCATGTTGGACATGAGCTACTGAAAATTGAAAAACTCAGCCACTCTTATGCCCATCAAAATGTATCTTCCTTGGATTGTGTGTCCTATTGAAAGAATGTTAGATTTATAATACATTGCAGGCTAGAAACATTCTGAATCACTTATTGATTCAGTATCATATGTTTGAGTTTTGTTAGAGATATTGTAGTATAATACCAATAGAATCAGTCACCAGAAATGTCTTTAAATGTTGTATTTGTCAGAAGATAAATTGGATGACTATCAGTATGTGTATATAATCTCAATGTGCAAAGTACATTGGTAATTTCTTTTTGTCCCCCTGGCTATTCCACCTTGGGCCATGCAACTACTTCAGATTAAAATGTTCAGCGACTGAGGGCTTCTCTACACTTGAAGGGCTACAGAAGCACTTCAGTGTAGACACTACCTACGCTGATGGGAGGGGTTCTCCCACCATCATAGGTAATCCACCTCCCCAAGAGTTCGTAGCTAGGTCAACAGAAGAATTCTTCCGTCAACTTAATGCTGTTTACACAGGGACTAAGGTCGGTTTAACTATGCCGTTCAGGGGTGTGTAGTTAAGCCAACGTAATTTTCTAGTGTAGACCAGGCCTAGAATGTCAAAGGCTACTGAGATAGCTTTTTCAAATCAGCAAGAATGCCAGAAATGCTATATACTCACAAATGTTGGTTCATCTAGTGATATTTTTGGCTGGCATTCAATAGCTGTGAGAAATGTGGGGATAATGTTTCAACAAGAGACTTCCTAATGCTAACATAGATATGTGGATATCTAAAACTCCTAAGATAAATGTTTGATCTAGTATCCTATGGAAAGACCTGTTTATATTTAGGAACATAGGAATTGCTATACTAAATTAGAACAGGGAGCCTTCTAATCCATTATCCTGGACAGTGGTCAGTACCAAATGCTTCTGAGGAAAGTGAAGGACCCCTGCATTAGGCAATTATGGGGTAACCTTCCCCCAGGTAAAATTTTCTCTTAAAAGCCACTTGTTAGAGGCTGGTTTATGTTGTGAAACATGCAGGTTTACATCCCTTCCAAAATTCTTTTAAAATTAAATATTTAACTATTCTAACTCATTATTTTTGTTATCTTTTTTGACCAATTGTTTTTTGAATCCTGCAAAGTTCTTAGCCTCATTGATCTCATGTGGCAATGAGTTCCACAGGGTACATTGTGTTAAAAAAACTATTTCCTTAATCAGCTTTGTATTTGTTGTCTTGTTCTTTCATTATAAGAGACGGCTAACAGAAGTTCCTGATCTACCTTCTCTGTGCCATTCATTATACCGTATAATTTATAGCTCCTCTTATTAATATCCTGTAAATTAAACAATTCCACTCTTTTCTCACTGTCTCTGAGCCCCCTCTAATTCTGCTACATCTTTTCAATTCAGATTTTCCCTCTGGTTTAAAACAAACAACAACAAAAAGCATTTCCATTGCTTTTTCACAATTTATAATGGAGACAAAATAGAGGTAAAAAAAATTGTATGGACTATGTTTTTCCCCTAATAAATCATGCTTACAATGTCCATATAACCTTTTAAGACACCTGAAAAAACCCAGACTATTAGAATCAAGCTACTCAATGTTGTCTAAAATGTGTGTACTCTCCCCACAGGTATTAGAAAGTATCTATATATAGTAGTTACACTTAGTCAATGATTGACAATATTGGACTTTAATTCTGGAGGTCTTCTAGGACTGTATGCATGGCTAGAGGATTCAGCATCCACTGATCCAGAAAGGTACATATTTTCATGTTTACAATAGATATTAAAGCATATACTTTAGAGAGATTAGAAATTCTTTTTTAATTCGCTTTCCAATTATCACCTGTCTACACTGAAGGTGGGTAGTTATCTAACCCTGACCATGCAGTTCATCACCAAGTAATTTAGAGAATGATTGGTAACATATTTATACCAGAATAAGCTTATTTGGAAAGACAGTGACCATTATGCTGCATCCCACATCCTACACACAGACATCTGTGAGCAATTGTGTGATTAAAAATAGAGCTGAGGTTACATCCCAAATACCCAAAATTCCTGGTAGCCAGGAAAACACCATTAGAACATCTTTCATTTACTTCCCTAGAGCTAGGTTTGTGCTGTAAAATTGAATCCAGAACTTGGCTTCCCATTTTCAAAAGTTGGGTTGCAGGGAGTGTGGTACACAAGAAAGCTAGATCCAGCATTTTCATTCAAACTATTGTAGATTGGGATCTGGATCCAAAAATTTGTGTGGATTTGGTTGCAGGATCTATCCTTGAGGGTCACAGTTTATACTAAGTTTATATTTATAACTAGTGTTTAAAGGGCTACTAAATGGTTAATCAATTATTAGAGCATTTAACAGGTCAATAGGTTGTTTATGTAACAATGATTTATAACCATCTCTATATACCTTCTACTGATGTGGTTATAATCATCTTCAACATACAGTCCACATGTCTGTAACATATTTAAAACATCTTTTGATCATTCATTAACCTTCTATAAAACACCTACAAATGGAACATTAATATAAAGTACGACTGACTGACTTCAGTGTATGCTTCATTGGCTCATTACTGATTGGATGTTATCAGATGCTAAGTAGGCTATTAAAATGTTTTCCCTTTTAAAAATGTATTGGTGTATCCCATCATAAATATGTCTCGATAAGAATGCCTTGTGTCATTAACTGTTTGATACCTAATTTTCAACTTTGAGACGATATCTGATCCAGATTTGATGTAGCTATTTGGCAGATCGCTACTGCTTTCAATTTTAAATTGAAAGCATAAACTTTAATGCAACAGAAAATATCCTAGGTCACAATGATGTCAAAATCTCCATATATTCACCATGACCTTTTGATCTACAAATAACCTGGAGTGAATGTATAAATACCCAATATAAAACTGCAGTTTAGTTCCAACTCTAACCTTTACATAAAACTACCAAATGCTACCTTCATATTTCAGGGAGAAAAAATCCTCAAATGTAATGAAACGTCTGTTTATTTTCCTTAATACATGTCAGAAGGCTTACAAGCTATATTTAATGTGTCTCCTCTCTATGTCACACAGCTAACCATTTGGAGTAATTGCACTCTACATATTCTAATGCGTTAGTCCACATTTGTGATCTTCATACTCTCCAAATTAAAAATACATTAACAACTGAATTATGTTCTTTAGTACATATATAACAAATAGCTGTAAAATTTTATATGTAGTCACATTCTTGTGCATATTGTTGTGGTTTTACTATTCAAAAACAAGCACATACATAAATGGTAACGCCTCAAGAAGTTATGTGCTTAGTTGACACATATTTGTTTAATGATGGCTGAGTGAAATTTAGCACTGAATAAACCCCCCCAAAATATTTATTTGCCTAAAACATTAGGTATAAACATCACCACTCCATATTGAGTTATTTATCTTACATTTTGGGGTGGGACCTGAATTGGCAGCATGTTATTTGTGTTGAGATTGAGTTGATTGGAAGACAGCATTTGTACATTTTGCTCTGAATGTTACAAACATGATCGTTTCAGTGGTATAATCATTAAATAGTTTCACTTTGTACTGTGTGTATTACACTTTTGAACTCCATCAATGAAATATCAATAGGAAACATATTGGATACTGCTTTTACCAGTTATGTTTCACCTTTTTGCACTAAGCATTTGCCTATGAAAAGCTAAACTCAATTATAGTCAATGGCGTTACTCATCAAAAGATAAACACCAAAGCCCCAATAGCTATGAGAAAAACATTTCTCCCCTTGGACAAGCTATTGCAAAATTGTATTTCAGGGGTTTTACATCTTCCACTGAAGCATCTGATATTGACTGTTGTTAGAGAGAGAATATTGGACTAGATGCTAGATTTGGTTTGACCCAGTATGGCAATTCCTATGTTTCGTTCCTTATGGAGGGCAACCTGCAGTTCTGTATACTCTATCAACAGCTGGAATCATGTACCTGATTACCCTATAGATTTCGTTGTGGGGAGGAAAGGGTTGTTCTTTTGGTTATTTTTTAAACCAATTTGTTTGACATCTGCTGAGCATCACTGAAGTCATAATGAGACATACACCTCTACCCCGATATAACGCGACCCGATATAACATGAATTCAGATATAACGCGGTAAAGCAGCGCTCCGCGGGGGCGGGGCTGCGCACTCCGGCAGATCAAAGCAAGTTCGATATAACGCGGTTTCACCTATAACGCAGTAAGATTTTTTGGCTCCCGAGGACAGCGTTATATCGGGGTAGAGGTGTATTTATCCTTGAAGTGGAAGTACAGAATCACAACCAGTGATGGGCAGAGGATCCAGAATACACAAAGATAGATCGGATTCAGTTTCCATCTGTAATCATATAATTCCTTCCAGACAGTACATGCAGCATTTTCTTTAATATCCAGTAACTGGGTATAGTTAGCTTTAGCTTTTTTGTTGTTTTTGGTTTTGTTTTTTTGGTAACATCTCTGACTTCATTCGTAACATTAGTTTCAGTCACACTGATTAAGAGTAGCAATTTCACCTTTAAATGAAAGATATTGTGGTTAAAAATCAGGGAATGAGAGTCAGGAGATTTTGGTTCTCTTCCCAGCTCTATCGCAGACATTCTCTGAGATCCAGGGGATGTGATATAAACACTCGCTGCCTCCATCTCTCTATCTGGATAACAAAGATAATATGTACTTGTGTCAAGGGTGTTGTGGGAGCCTTATTTAGTTTTGTGTAAAGAACATTGAGATTCTTGGATGGAAAGTGATGCATAATATATACAAAGTATTATTGCAGCTAATGGTTTTGATCAAAATTGGGCAAAACTGGTGACATTTCTTCCAGGAAGTTTCTCTCTCTGGTTTTAACTAGTCATTTTGTGTAGTTTTTAAGTCCTCAGAATTGAACTTCCCTGAAACTGCAAATGCCCAAAACATTATACAGATCAGTTTGCAGATAATACTAACAAATTTGAAGCTGTCATTTTATACATTCAAAATTTTGTACAAAAGTACTAGGACAACTACCATCTTGGGCTTATGGAGAGGAGACAGGGAGGGAAAAAGCCCCCACAGATACTCTCACCCTCATATCAAACATGCTTCCAGAGGCACAACTGGTCAAAAGGAGGTGGAAATGTACCATCGTATGATGAAGGCAGACCAGGTGCAGCTCATGCCAAGGCCCCAGACCTTATTGAACACTTACAAATGCATAGCTGGAAACCAGCCTTGCTTACTTGTGTGTTAGCATTATCAGAATAGATATTAGATGTTAAGTTGATAAAAATGTGTTTAGTGTTAGACTTTATATAATGCTTGTAGGATGCTGCATTATTGATCTCACTTATAACCCCTATAGCCTGTGGTATAAAGTTATATTGAGTGTTTGCATTGTAAACCTCTGTAATTGTGTAACTCACTGAACAGGAAAAGAAGCATTAATTAAGGGAAAGTGCTCATCCTGAATACAATCAGATGGCCCATTGAAGGCAAATGAGGCATTGTGTAGCATCAAAGGACAGAGGCTGTGTTGACTGCATTCCTCACTCCCTCCAGGAAGGAGAGACCTACTCATGAACTCATCCCATCAGCTTTGGACTCTGGAGTGGAGGGGATAAAACCCCCTGACAAGGGGAAACTGAGGCTATGTCTACACCGATGCAGCTGCACCACTTCTGGTGAAGATGCTCTAAACCAAGCAGTGAAGAGCTTTCCCATTGGCCTAATAACTCCTGCCTCTGCGAGAGGTGGTAGCTCTCCTGCTGACATAGTGCTGTCTATGCCAGCGCTTAGGTTAGTATAAACTTATGCTGCTCAGGGGTGTGGATTATTCACACCCCTGAGTGACATAAATTATACCTCAGTAATTTATAGTTTACACATAGCCTGAATCTCTTTTATGCTGTCTGGATTCTGAGGGACAAGGATTCTTATTATAAGTATTGAGATCCCCACGTTTGGTGTGGGGTAGCCTTGAAAGACACTTTGGTTTGACAGATTACTACAGCTCTGTCACTTTTTGAATCACAGACTGAAACTCATTTGTGTATATATGCTTGTTTGCCTTAAGCTGTAAGTAAGTGGGAACAGGTAGGAACCCATATCCTGTTGCAGTGGAATTTCTGACTCTACAGGACTGAGGACTTGAACAACCAGGAACTTTAGTTGTACTGTACAAGAGAATGATTGCCTGCAATAGAGTCATGGGCTGATATTCTGTGTCAGATAATGCAGGTAGCGGGGTAGTCTAGGCCTCTACTTCATTTCCAGTGGAGTTCTCTTCAGGAGCACAGGTCCTGACACTTTAGATTTCTTTTCCTTCCCTCCCCCTACCATTCGTGTTCCCAAGAAGGAAGTCAGCCTAAGAGGGGTGTGATTATAAAATGGAATTCATGGCAGCTGAAACGCAGGAAGTGAATTTGAAGCGGGGGGGGGGGGCATAATGGCTGTTTTTGGTAAGACAGAACATAAACTTGACCTATAACCCAATAAGACACCAAGCATTCATCAGCCTTATAGTCTGTACAGTGATCAGAGGAGAATACACCTCTATCCTGATATAACGCGACCCGATATAACACGAATTTGGATATAACGCAGTAAAGCAGTGCTCCGGGAGGGGGTGGGGCTGCGCACTCTGGCGGATCAAAGCAAGTTCGATATAACGCGGTTTCACCTATAACACGGTAAGATTTTTTGGCTCCTGAGGACAGCGTTATATCGGGGTAGAGGTGTAAAATGAGAAATGTGTAAACCTCAGCGTTAATATAAACACGTACCATCACACACACACTAGTTCTCCAAGCCAACTTCAATATAGCCAATAGATCTACATACAGATCTGATGATGGAGAAACCTCAAAAGATTAAAATGTTTAGTTGAACCAGTTGAGGACCCTTCCAGGCCAAATGGCCTTTCAATCCCATACAGTTAACTTCTAGCTCCTACCTGGTGTTCACTTTCTGCAAAAAAGAATTTGAGGACTGTACCTCTCCTTCCTTCAACACACATGTATTCACAGTGTCTTGGATAGGGAGAGCATTCCCACCATCCGGGTTACCAAGCAGAGCCATTATCTCCTAAACCAGTTTGGAGAGAAGGGGCTACAAGTGATGCCCACAACTGATTTGGTGGTCTTGACCACTAACCATTTTTTTTTCCTGTCTGACAAATTTCACCCAAATTTGTCACCTCTCCAAATGTGAAAATGAGTCAAAATGGCTTCTGCTATCCTGGCTGACAACATTGGGGATAACAGCGAGTAACAGGGCCAGCCTTAGGGTCCAGTAATCAGGGCAGTTGCTCTGGACACCTGGTTCTGGGGATGCCAAATTTAACATCCAGGGTGTGTGTCTGCATCAAAATTGGGTGGGCAGAGTATTTGTTTTGTACTGCTCAGCTGTTTGGGTAGCACTGAAAATCTATACTGCCCTGGGCAACAAAACATGTAGCGTAGGCCCTGATGAGTAATGTTATGAATTTGCTTAATATCTTGCTTTTAGTATGAATAAGCTGGTAGGAAGCCTCCTCATAGTGTTCTTTCCAGGACAAAATAAATCAATCAATCACTTCTTACCAATAAAAAAGCAGGGCTAACAAATTTCCAACACAGTCGCCAGTAGAGGCCCGGTTTGAAGCCCATCATTTGTTGGATGTCTTCACTGAATCTGTCCACACCTGCAAGTTAAACACAAACAGAAGAGACACAGACTTCAAGTTGGCAAAAATGAGTAGACAGTGGCAAAAAAACAAACATATTTGTAGTCTCAGAAAAATATAAGTGAGATACTTCCAAACCAGAAATAATGTAAGGATGAAATCCTGACCCCCATTTTAGCTAACAGGAATTTTGAAATTGAGTTCAAAGGGGCCGGGGTTTCTCTCTAATTGTCTATTCACATGATACTCTAATTGTAAATCCCATGACTACTGAGAAAGACATAAATTTATTTGGGCATAAGCTTTCGTGGGCTAAAACCCACTTCATCAGATGCATACAGTGGAAAATACTGTAGGAAGATAGATAGATAGATATACAGAGAACATGAAAAAATGGGGGTTGCCATACCAACTCTAACGAGAATAATCAATTAAGGTGGGATATTATCAGCAGGAGAAAAAAAACTTGTGTAGTGATAATCAGGATGGCCCATTTCAAACAGTTGACAAGAAGATGTGAGTAGCAGTAGGGGAAAAATTAGCATGGGGAAACAGTTTTTAGTTTGTGTAATGACCCATCCACTCCCAGTCTTTATTCAAGCCTAATTTAATGGTGTCCAGTTTGCAAATTAATTCCAGTTCTGCAGTTTCTCGTTGGAGTCTGTTTTTGAAGTTTTTTTGTTGAAGAATTGTGACTTTTAGGTCTGTAATAGAGTGACCAGGGAGGTTGAAGTGTTCTCCGACTGGTTTTTGAATGTTATAATTGTTAGAGTTAGTATGGCAACCCCCATTTTTTCCATGTTCTCTGTGTGTGTGTGTGTATATATATATATATATATCTTCCCACTGTATTTTCCACTGCATGCATCTGATGAAGTGGGTTTAGCCCACAAAAGCTTATGCCCAGATAAATTTGTTAGTCTCTAAGGTGCCACAAGTACTCCTCGTTCTTTTTGCTGATACAGACTAACACGGCTACCACTCTGAAACCTGAGAAAGACATGTTGAGCTTCATTTTCAGTTAAGCCACAACACATTTCAAACATTGAAGTGGCAAAATGAATACAGATGCTTTTTTTATTATGGCTGTGGGCTATTCTACTTGTAGTCAAATTACACAACTCACTCATACTCGTATACAAAAACCCACAAATAAATAAGGCGCTGATTGTAAAGTAAATCCACATATTTGTAAGTCTTCAGAGGAGCTACCAGTTCCACTTTTTTAAGCGCAGTGTGAGGAAATACACATTGTCTTTGTAATGCATGCCGTTTCATCTTTCAGTAACCTTCTCTAGAATCTGCCTAGGTGCTTATCTTTCAGTTTAGATGTGTGCCATAACATAAGAATATAAGCCACTACACTGGATCACACCATGGTCCATCTTGCCCAATATCCTGTCTCAATGCTAGAGGTTCAGGGGGATTGTACAGACCAGGGCAATTATGGAGTGATCCACTCCTGTCTTCCACTCCCAGCTTCTGATAGTCAGAGGTTTAGGGTAGAGACCTACACAGGACTAGTGTAGAACCCTGCAGTGAGTCTGGGATCCTGTGGGTTCCACAGGACACACTGCCATATAACAGGTGCAAGTGGGAGTAGGATTAAAGAATAGTCCCGCGCAGGGCTCTAGTTTAGGGTTTCCCCGAGCATGGTGGTGTTTTTTTCACCAACTTGGCTCATAGCCATTGCTGGGCCTATGAATTTATCCAGTTCTTTTTTGAAACCAGTTATACTTTTGGCCATCACAATATTCCATGGCAATGACTTCCACAGCTGAGTTGTGCATTATGTGAAAAAGTTCTTTCTCTTGTTTGTATTAAACCTGCTGCCTATTAATTTCATCAGGTGACCCCTGTTGGCTGTATCATGAGAAGGGGTAAAAACACTTCTCTATTCACTTTTTCCACACCATTCATGATTTTATAGACTTCTATCATATCCCCCCTTGGTCATCTCTTTTCTAAGCTGCCCAGCCCTAAGCTTTTTAGTATCTCTTCCTATGGAAGCCTTTCCATACCCTTGATAATCTTTGTTGCCCTTCTCTGAACCTTTTCCAGTTCCACTATACATTTTTTGAGATGAGGCAACCGGAATTGTCCACCAATATTCAAGAGGGGACACATCATAGAGTTATATAGTGGCATTATGATATTTTCTGTCTTATTTTCTATCCATTTCCTATTAGCTTCTAATATACTCTTGGCCTTTTTGACTGCTGCTGTGCATTGAGCTGATGTTTTCAGAGAACTATCCACGGTGATGCCAAGATCTCTTTCCTGGGTGATAGCAGCTAATTTAGACCCCATCATTGTATGTGTATAGTTAGGATTATTTTTTCCACTGTGCATTAATTTGCACATATCAATGTTGAATTTCATCTTCCCTTTTGTTGCCCAGTCACCCAGTTCTGTGAGATCCCTGTGTAATTCTTCGCTGTCTGGTTTGGAATTAAATAGCTTGAATAATTTTGTAGCATCTGCAAACTTCACTGTTCACCCCCTTTCCCAGGTCATTAATGAGCATAACAACATAACCGTAAGGCTACAATGCCCTGGTTTAGATTTCCCAAAGCATTGCAGGAAACTACTCAATAATACCAAATATTTTTTCTAAAAACTATTATCTCTGTACACATTGTCAATATCTCCTAAATTAATACTGCTGACACAGAAGATGCATTAGAAAATAAATGACATGTTCACATGTGTAAAAAAGTAAAAAGCAGCAATTCTAGGAAACTGTTGGGAGTTTTGATGGTTGAAATCATTGGGCAGCTGGGGGCAGAGGGTTTGCTTGATGAGACTGCAAGATCAGACTCTAAATAATTATAATCAAATGAATGACATAGAACATGTGTTTATAAACATGGTAGACTCACCTTGATCACTTGATTAGCATTTATAAATTTGCATTAGCAGTTGTAAATACATGAGCCTATTACTTTCATTGTGAGCTGAACCTTATATAATCAAACACCACTTAAAAACTGTAGCTGAAAGTTAGCTACATCCAATGGTTGTTACTGTGCTCTGTGGAAAGAGGGATGCATGAAAATGAGAAGTAGAACAGACTTATATGCAAAAAGAACAGGAGTACTTGTGGCACCTTAGAGACTAACAAATTTATTAGAGCATAAGCTTTCGTGGGCTACAACCCACTTCTTCGGATATATATGTTTCACTCTATATGCATCCGAAGAAGTGGGTTGTAGCCCACGAAAGCTTATGCTCTAATAAATTTGTTAGTCTCTAAGGTGCCACAAGTACTCCTGTTCTTTTTGCGGATACAGACTAACACGGCTGCTACTCTGAGACTTATATGCAACTGACATTGACTAGAGAGGAGAGAAGAGTAGCAGACAGACTCTCTCAAATTAACCAAACGATCATTGAAGCACTTAGGTGTTTCTCTAAACCATCAGATAGCTAAGGTTCTCAATACCTTATTCGTTTCTTCTTCTTATTATTATTCGTGTGTGTGTGTGCTCGCATAGTACGTATTACAGCACTAAAAGCTAGAACCCTCTGTGTGTGACCAGACACAGTATACACAGTGGCAGTACAAGTTTCCTCCCACTGTCCTATCAGTGAACTGGCGGAAGCCCCCGTGTCTTTCCACCTAAGGTCTTTCTAAGGCACCTATCAAAAAGTGTTATTTGGGCTAGGATTAGGATCAGAGTATAGTTCAGCTTCCATTGTGCCTCAGTCTTTGGAATCTCTGCTGAAATAGCATCATGGTTGCCAATTAGTGCCAGTGTGAAACTGGCGTGAGAGGACAATCAGGCCCTTAAAGGCCATATCTCACCAGGAACATAAAGCCAAGGATGAAATGTGATTATTTTCATGTATTTCCTTTTAGATAATGCACCTAAATTCTCGTGTATATATATTTGATATATAGACATAAGCAGCAGTGGAAGCCATAAAAATAAAAATTTCTGGAGCCACCTAACCTATCTGGGCAAGCACCCATCGTTTACCTCACTTACACCGTCCTCAACTTGTCCCTTTCTCCGAAGCCTGGGAAAATAAACATTTTTGTAGCATGTTCTTTAAGTGAAGGGTGTCAGGCTCCATGGGACCAAGGATGGACATTTGTTCCAGAGACGAGAACCTCTCATAGGAAACATCCTGCCTCCAGCCACTGCTCATTTAAACTAGAGGTCTGTTAGTGTGAGTACCTCCGCACATATCATGTTCTGTGGCAATGAGTGAGGAAAGGGATGTGGGTTTTTTTTCAAGTAGGCAGGACTTAAACCCTAAAGAGCTCCATAGGGCTTCTAAACCAACACCATGAATTTCACCGCTGAACAAGTTGGGAGCCAGTGTATAGGCATGAGGTCCTTCCTGTGAGAGTCTGCAGTAGGCTACCATAGTCTGCACTAGCTGAAGGTTCTGAGAGTCTGCAGGGGTCAAATGTATTGCAGCTAGTCTCAAACTGATAAAGACATGTCTAATTGTAGGAAGCTCGGTATGCGGAAGAAAAAATGATAAAAATCACGCTAACTCATATTCATTGGACCTTTCTTGAACTTAATTCCTGACTGGAAATACTTACTTTCCACCCATAATATTTTATTAGAACATAAATTTATGTATTAACTGGCAGTTTTAATTTGTTATGCAAAATAATTGTAAAATGTCTACCTTCCATATGATTAGATTGCTAATTTCTCCCCTCAAGCCCCGGCTTTGTATCTGTTGTTGAAATCCTTGAATTGAATTTCTCCTGGTAGCATTTCCCAATAGGAGAGATCACTTTGCAAAAGTTTAATCTGTGCCAAGACTATTTTCCCACATCAGTTTATAATTACATGATCACTGCTGCTGTGATAGCTTGGAAAAAATTTCCTGGTCAGAACCACCGTAAAATAAACAAACACATAAATAAAAAAAGATTCCTTGCTTGTAAGCCTAGAGACAACACAAATAAAGTAATTAGAGAAATCTCCAAGAGAAAAAAGGGCTCTTGGCTCAGTGCTCAATATTTCTCTTTGACCAGTGTCACGCTCACG